TCCACCTGGCAAAGACAAGACTGTCCAAAACTGGAGATGAATAAAAATTATTAAACGATACAGAGAAAATGCGACTCCTAACAACGCTACAAGACCAGTTAGACCTCGAAAACTGTGATCATCAGATGAATGCTTCTTAGGAGTAGGAGACTGCATCAGATCTGAAAAGATCCACAGGTGCTTCTGTCCATCCTTCTACTGTGAGAAGACAACTGAACACGCCATAACTGAGAAAAGGAAAAACACACACACAGACACTGGAAATCTGAGATGTGGATTAAGGTTTTAGGGACTGACTTGTCTAAATTTGTCATCTGTATTACTTGGATTGTGAAAAGCAGAAAATGCAACCAACATTTCTGCAGATTTCTTTGAAAAACTGAAAGTAAGTCTCCTGAAAAAAATGAAAGCTATAATAAAGGTGGACAGGCTAAATGCTCCAAAAACTGCCATTATATTTAGTTGTTTTGGCAGTTTTTTCCCTTATGCTTAAACATGAAGTTGTACTTAAATGATAAATAATAGGGCAGTACTATATCAAAACACCTCTGCCCTGTTAAGGTATTGAAAAGGTTCTTTTGGCATCCTGATGTTGACTGCAAAGCTTCAACTCTCTCAAACCCAGACCTGCATGGATGTAAGTATGTGGAACAGCTAGTAAAAAAAAGTCATGGCCAAATGTCAAATAACATGTGGTACTGATCTGAGTTTATAACACAAACAACATTCTTGCCATCAGAGATGAACAATTCTGGTTGGCAACCTGCATATGCCCTACAATGATCTTTCAAGAAAATATCTCTCCAGTGATAATGGCACAGGCTGCAGCAGGTCAGCTTTTATATGCTCTACTGTCCACTGATAGGCAGAGCAGTGGACAGGATTTGCTCTAAAATCTGGGGTTCTATGCATATTATCAAAGTAGAGGGGTTGCCTAAGCACCAGTAATTGCCTTTTATATGCTTCTCAGTGTCAGAAAAAAGCAGAAGCATATATTATGGAAAATTGTATTGTCCTCGTGTTTTTTAACAAAAAAAGTTTCATGTTGTTGCACTATTGAAGTTTCAAAATGTATCATTCACTAGCCAGTCCATACAGTCCATATGTGAAAATTAAGCTGGAAAACAGCCTGTTTTGAATTGAATTGAATGAGAAACAATACAGAACAGCCAATCAGAACAGAGCTTTATTTTTATATTTTTTGGAGGTAGATGAATGGCAGCAAAACAGGACATTTCATCCCTGAGGACCAGTTTGAGAACCACTGTTCTAAGAGATAAAGAGAGAGTGGAAAACAGTCATGTAAAATAAATGATGGCTGGTTTTGGTATATCAATCTACATAAATATCATAAGTGGACCTCAGGGAAAAATAATACACAAGAGAAAGGTATGATTCTTTAAAAGACTTTTCTTCTGCTTCATGTGGTGTTTTGACATCAGAACTTTCTGCACAGCTTTTGCACAGAAACATGAACACAGAACACACACTCCTCGGCACAGTAACACAAAAATGCAATACATACACACAGAGTTACAGGGCCTACAGTCTTGACAGTGCTCGTGTCGAAACAGAGCTGAATTATGCATAGCTGTTGGTAAGAGGATAGTAAGTGAAAGCAGATGTGGGATGGATGTATTAAACAGAGGTTGAGGGAGAGATCAGTTTGCAGATACAGCGGCTGGAAGACTTAAACCAGAGCTGACTTGCACACAGAGTAAAAGAAAACATGTCATGTGTTGCTTCAACACAGTTAGACTGATCAGACAGAGAAACCTCTATGGTTTAGAAGATGCCTTAAAGGGCCAGTATCATAGAAAACGAAATTTTCCTCCCTTTTTTTATTTTTTTAAATAAAGTGTTAAATGTTGTATGTAAACACTTAAAGTTTTACATCATACCAGTCACCCATACTGGTCAGTTCCTAAATTTCCACATATGGAAACTGTTGAATTCACTGTTTTTGTGACGTCACAAAATCCAACACATTTACTTATAGCAATCTAGGTTCGCTCATTTACGCTTAAGTTATAAGTAGCATTTCAGTCTGGACTGCTTATAAATGAGGCACAATACAGGGCAGCCAATTATAACAGAACTCATTTACATATATTAGTCTTAAAGGCACAGTAACAAAAACCACCTGTTTAATTTTAAGGGATAAACAGAGGTTGGAAAACGGTCATGTAAAATGAACTACTGCTGTTTTCAGTACATAACCCACATAAATGTTATAAGTGGACCTTAGGGAAAAATTACATTCAAGAAAAATGTTAAAAAGGACAGACTTGTGGGCAAATAAAATAACTATAATGTCAACACTTCAGTGAAGTCAATTTATATGATAATTAATCACTAATAGGACTGGAGGTCAATGTGCTGGTTAATGTGCAGAACCGAAGACGGCCTTAACCTCTGCCACGCTTAACCTGTGACCCGAACAGAATACTGTTTTGTCAGTCAGACTAACTCTTATTCAAGGTTAGCTTTTGGAGATATGGTAAGATATAACAATATGCTGGCAAAAGAAGCATCAGGCAGATAAATAGGCATTTACTGCAGAATAAATAGTAAAAAGCAATGAGTATAAAGCATCTGGAACATGTTCTTTTTGGCAATAAAGTAAAACAGGTAGATAAAAAACAGAAAAAACTTATTTCGATGAAGAATAATATAAAGTGCAGCTCAATGGAAAAGTCAGAGACTATCCTTCATTCATTCAAAGGAGAATACGTAAAAAAACAGAAGCTTTCAAAACTAGATTTTAAAAAATGCTTACAAGATATAGAGAAAATGGGATTCCTAACAACCATGCAAGACCAGGTAGTCCACCAAAACTGTCACCATCAGATAAACAGTACTTAAAATCAAGCTCCACTCTTACTTTAGACCTGAAAATATCCACAGGTGTTTCTGTCCATCCTTCCACTGTGAGAACACAACTCAATGCTATGGGGCTGAAAGGATGTGTAGCTGTCAAGCCATTACTGAGAAAAGTAAATTTGCACTAGACCACAAAACCGGACATCTGATATGTGTAGTAAGGTTTTTATGGATTGAGTCTCAATTTGTAACTGGGATTACTTAGATTGTGAGAAGAAAAGTCTGCAACCAATTTCTAAGACTGAACTGAGGTGTGGAAAAATATCCCTACAGATGTCTTTGAACTGAAAGAACGTTTCTCAAAAAAAAAAATTAAGCTGTAAAAAAAAAAAGGCAAATAGCGGACATATAGAAAAAAAGGTATACATGTACATATGATACTGCTTTTTCCTGACAGTGAAAAATGAATGACATCTACTTCAGAATATATTAATGGCCTTCTTGACTGGAAACTACATAAATGAAAGGAGGGTCTCTGACCTTTTTGCACACTACTGTTTCTGAAGTGTGTATGCCCATAAAGTATGCAAATAAAGGTTCCAGGATCCAGGAACCCTCTATGACTCCCTATTTTCTCAATGCCATTACTTTCTGTCATTACACAAAGCATCTCTGGCTACATAGTGACCCATATTCAAACATCAATGTAACTCAGTCATTGATTTATCATGCATTCGAGACAGCACTTAATTCATCCTCTTATCGTAAAGATGTTTACATACTGAATAAATACCTTAGGTGAGAAGGTAAAAGCTCAGTCTGTGAAATCAGGCAGACGTGCACTTTCATGCCTTAATGGCCAGTTTGCACAATTCAGACTCTTTTTTACGCAAACACTGAAAAGCAAACACTTAACACTTAAGTGTTTTTCCCCAGAGACCATGTTCTCATCCTGTACACCAGAGATTCTCCTGTTCTACTACAGCAGGAAGGAAGCCATCATGAGTCCAGAGTTTACAGCAACAAACTCAAAGCATTACTTAACTGAAAAACCACCACAAGTAGCGGACTTTAAAGTGCAACAGCTATCCAACCTACCAAAATACACCAGAGTAACTCTTAAATGAATAGTTCGGCAAAACATCAGATTTAAAGTGGACCTATTATGCTCATTTTCAGTGTTCATAATTTTAGTTTTGGGGTCTATTAGAAAAGATTTATATGCTTCAATGTTCCAAAACACATTATTTTTCTCATATTGTACATTTGAATTCACTTTCTGTCTGAAAGGCTCTGTTAGAGCTCCTGTGTCTTTAACAGTAATTAATTACACAGTAATTAATATGGTTGACTTTTGAAACCTTATACCATACTAATATCTATAAGAATTGAGAAAAGTATGTAGCACAGGTAAAAAATAGTCCAGACTCATGTTTTTTTTCCCATTTAGGTATGTTGTTTCCACTAGAAATGCATCAATACCAACAGTGGTATCGGGTATTGGCTCGATATTATGCCCATTTACTCATACTTGTATTTACTCATACTTGACAAAGCATTTTCCTACAGTGTGAAATCTTAGGCTTTGTCGATACGCAATGGTCTATTCAAAAGTACAGTATGAGTTGTGGCCAAAGAACAAGATTTCTAAAATTGCACAGTGTATGTCTGGCTTTAGAGGACATTCAACTACAGCTCAACCAGCCAAAAAGACTCCAACAAGATGTGAGCTCCTTGGATGCATTACTGCAGAAACAGCTATTTATGAGACAGATGAGAAGCAGGGATCAAAACTATGAAACACACTTCACTTACAGCTGTTCAAAAGTGCTTTTCTGATAAGGATCAAAACCCACTCTTCTCCACTACAATGCCACTTGAATTCAAGGTATTTAACCCTAAGTAGATTACTATCGTTATCTGTAAAGTACTAAAAACTCCCACTCGGTCTAAAAAAATGGTTTTGATGCATCCCTGCAAAACACAACACAAAACAAAAAAACAACCTTATACACCAAACATGTCCTGGTTGTCACTAACTACATTTGTGCAAGTGGCAAATATCAATCTGATTTTCACTGAATTATTACTTTACCTGGTGTTATAGAGCTTCTTGAGTGGGATATCTAGTACACATTTAGCAGAGTCCTAAGCAGTTATAATTGAGAACCATGTACCTTTTTGGCAGCCCGTGATGGAGACCTCCTGCTGGGTTTGGGTATCTCACTGGTAAGGGTGGCTGGCAGCTTGGACACAGAGCCGTTTTCCCGCTTGCTGGGGGTTGGGGGAGGGGATGAGGAAGAGGATGGTGACAGGCTGACTTGGACAGCCATGTCCTCTGTGCAGGTGAGGCGCAGACTGCGCAAGTACTCATCTGTCTCACGATCAACCACCAGCAGCCTGGTCTCATGCTCCACTGCCTTAATCCTCTGCACCACCTAAGAACCAGCAAAGCACAAAATTCAGTTTCTTTCTTCTTGATGATGTGTGAGCTAAAGTATTGATTGGGCTGTGCTGCTAATGGTATATTAGTAACTCTAAACTAAAGTGAACTACAGTAAGCGATCTTAAAGGCACAGTAACAAAAAAAATCATGTTTCATCTAAGGGATTAAAAAAAGGTTGGAAATGGTCATGTAAAAATTAATTATGGTAGATAAACGCACACAAATATAATGAAAGGAGAGGATATGGACCTTTTACCTTATTAAACTACACACTCTAATAGTTGTGGTGCAAAGCAGCTTATGTTGCTTAATGTGTCAAAAGAAAACTTTGGTAAAACCGACAACCGCAGCTCCACAATGCTGCCTCAGTTTAATGCAGGGCAGCTAAACAAGTGCGACCATATATTCAGACTAGAACTGAAATCATTAACACATTATTTTAGATGTTGGATTAGTCAAATAGAGGTGACTGAAGTCTGAAGTATATACCTGAAGTATATACCTGGGTATTTGTGTGCCTGCTCAAAATAGAAGTTAATGACAAAACACTACAATGGGTAGCTTTGTTCAATCATGTTCTTTTCATTTTAAAATAGGGGGATGACATCATTCATCATTTAGGCGCTTCCTAATAAGAGGAATCAAGGGAGATCTCCACATAAAGCAGTTCTCCACATAAAGCAGTTTGTTGTGGATATGCTATTATTCTTTTTAAATGCACTAATAACTAGCCATCATTTTGTAGCATTCCTGAGTGGAGCTGCAACATTTCTTATAGAAAAGGCTTTATTCTAAGGCTTGTTCAGTACAGGGGCCATCACCAAAGCACTATTTCCCCAGCATGCATCAGAACAAAGCCTTTAAATGGCATTCAAGCTTTCGGTCTTCATTGTCATACTGTGTTGATGGTGAAGGGCCAGATGTCGCATACAGACAGACAAACATGCACAGAGCTCTCAAGGACAAGCCCAGACAGCCAGAGCCACTTTACTGATCCAGCCATTAGTGTGATTAATTATCAGCCTGAGCTCTACATCATGTGTTTGGAACTAAATTCAGCTGAAGCTGCAGTTTAGCAGGGTCACAATATCACCAAAACAGGCATGCATGCTGATCTTAAGCTTCCTTCCAAGTCAATGCAGGTATCTAATATGCGTCACTGAATGGTCACATGCTTTTGATGAAGGCCAGGTCCATTTACAAAACATAGGAGTCTCTGGTGAAACTTTGCAATGAATTTAGATACAGCCTAGGATTTGTTTTTAATCTGGAAAGGAAGACACAACTGACGCACTTTAGAAACATGGCTCTCTCTGACAGCAAGCAAAGCTTAAGAACTACCACCCTGCATGGAAACATGGCCGGTCTGTAATGTTTAAAGACACTGGCTGAGTCCCAAATGGGTCCCTGTTGGACATGTAGTGCACTATGTGCATGCAGAAGCCATTATTTCACAACCTGTCCAGTGCACTATATAAGAAGCAGCACGCCAGCTGAGATACAGTCACTGTTTATGTTGGATGAGGGGAAAAATACTGTCTTAGCATTGCGGATGCTGGTAGAAGCATTAGCCTAGTGTCCTGTCAGTGAAGCCCAGAGTTACAGGGCTCCAAAAAGTTTACCATAAGGTAGCTGGGGTTTCTGAGTAACATTTAGTAGTGGCTGCTCTAAATGAACCATGCTTATGCCTTCTGGGTGAATCTTCTAGATCACGCTGCCCAAAGTGTAGCCTGTGAGTCAAAGCTGGCATGAGAGGACACTGCATTTGGCCTGCCAGAAAGATACCTAAACCCCACCCCTTCAGCTAAAAAAGAGGACAAACATATTTGTACTATGTAACATGATTGCATTTGTGAAGTATTTCCTTAACAAAATGTAGTGTAATGTTATAAAAGATGCCTCAGACCACCAAAAACACTGCACTTTTCTCACCCCCAAAAAGTTTAGGCACCTCTGTTCTTGATCTTTCTAGAATGTTTAAGAACACATCCAACTTCTCTCAATCAAAGATACATTTTCACCTGTGTTGTCTTTGACAAAACCTTCTGTTTTCAGGCAGAGGTGGCTAGTACCTCCATTTATTTCCATGCATTCAAGTCAAGCACTGACGAATTGTCCTTTTCTAGGTATCCTTACATCTTAGCACACTTATACTCAAGTTGTGAATAATTAACTAGATTCTTTACTCATTAGCATACGATTTTAGTCATTCACATTTCATTCTGGATCCTTTTTTGCATCTAAAATGATTCTGTTAGTGGTGACAGTTTGTGGACTTCTCTGCTGTGCCTCACACTTCCGAATTTTTAACACTGTTGTTGTCTAGGAGCCTCATAAAAAAAGAGAGGAATAGAGTCTAACAAGCTTCAATTTCTACACTCTTAGCAAGACGGGTTCTACATGATACCAAGAAATGTTCTTTGACTTGTAACAATTGTGGAGCCACTTCAAAGGGGTCTTTAAATATCTCTATACAACAGTTTCTCCATCATGAATCATGCAAAGAACCATTTAAACATTACTATGGACCTTTCAGTTGTCTTACTTCACATATGTGGATAAGCCATAAAATTAAAACCACCACCTCCTTGTATCTACACTCACTGCTTATTTGATCAGCTCCACTTACCATATAGGTGCACTTTGTAGTTCTACAATTACAGACTGTAGTCCATGTGTTTCTCTGCATACTTTGTTAGCCCCCTTTAACCCTAATCTTCAATGGTCAGGACCCCCATGGACCCCCACAGAGCAGATATTATTCAGGTGGTGGATCATTCTCAGCACTGCAGTGACACTGGCATGGCGGTGGTGTTTTGGTGTGTGTTGCGCTGGTCTGAGTGGACGAGACTGTCCTGGCTGCGGAACCAGAAGCCCAGGGGGTACGGCTGGATCTGATCCAACTCTTCCCACGTCGTGTTTTTAATTGGTCTGAACTAGAGTGGAGCTGATAAAATGGACAGTGAGTGTAGAAACAAGGTAGAATGGGCTAATAAAGTGGCTTATCAGGGTATGTAACATTTTGTAATTTTTTTAGGCATATTGAATCATTTTTATTAGACTTGGCAGTAATACCAAATCCTTTTAAATGTAAAAAAAAAAGCCGTTATAAAGAATTTTAATTATGAAATTCCAGGATTTAGTTGATAAAACACAGTTATGTGGGTTATTTTGACCTGTCATATGTGCATTCTAGTGTTTAAAAACGTTCAGCGTTTTCAACTAGAGCTCGTCTATCATAAGTACTCTTGAGATGTAGGCCTACAGAACGGACTTTGTAGCAGAATGTGAAAAAAGATTTTCGAGTTTTGACAAATGAGTGTGAACGTCGTGAATCATGAGCGGTTATAAAGGCTGTGTTGTGGCATTCAGGACGGAGCAACATCAAGAAAAAAAAAACACCAGCATCACCTGCGGGTTTCCCCACAGATAAAAACGCGACAGGGTAGACCAATGAAATAAGTCGTAGTAAGGGACACATATTTGTTTAAAGACCAATAGAAATGCGATGATTTTAGACCAATGAAAAGAAGACGTGGGCGGAGTTGGATCAGGTCCGGCTCCACCCCTTTGGACTTCTGGTTCTGCAGCGAGTGATAGTTGGAGTGGATCAGACACAGCAGTGCTGCTGGAGTTTTTAAACACTGTACCCACTTACTGTCCACTCTGTTAGACACTCCTACCTTGTTGGTCCACCTTGTAGATGTAAAGTCAGAGACAGTAGCTCATCTGCTGCTGCACAGTTTGTGCTGGTCATCGTCTAGTCCTTCGTCAGTGGTCACAGGACGCTGTTGCCTTGATATTTTTGGTTGGTGGACTATTCTCAGTCCAGCAGTGACACTGAGGTGTTTAAAAACTCCAGCAGCACTGCTGTGTCTGATCCACTTGTACCAGTGCAACATACACTAACACACCACCACCTCAGTGTTACTGCAGTGCGGAGAATGATCCACCATCCAAATACTACCTGCTCTGTGGTGGTCCTGTGGGGGTCTTGACCACTGACGAACAGGGTAGGGCTTACAAAGTGTACAGAGAAGTATGTAATTGTAGAATTACAGAGCGTTCATATATGGTAAGTGGAGATGATACAATGGACAATGAGTCTAGATACAAGGAGGTGGTTTTAATGTTATGGCTGATCAGTGTATAACAGTTGCTTTTACTAAAGAACCAATGAACCACATTTTAGGGTGTACAGTGTTACTGAAAGTCTGTGGGAAGCTCAGAAGGCTACTTGAGGAGGTGTCGCAGTAGATACTTTTTCGCTCAACTTATTTTTGGCAGCTGACTGACCTTTTCAGTAAAGTAACAACACTTGTACGTTAGCTTGAAACTACTACGCACCTGATGGCAGCAGTTTAACTGTCAACCGTTTAACCCCATATGGTCTCGCGCCACGCAGTTCGCTACGCTAAATGCGTTGTTGTTGTTGTTTTGGGGCGCAGCAGCTCTCTGACACATTACCGAGCTGAGTGTGTCTGCTCACCTGATGGTGGGTCTCTCTCTCCACGTTTACTCCATTCACTTCGACCACTCGGTCACCGGCGCGCAGTCCCGAAGCCTCCGCCGGAGACGCCGGCTCCACTTTGCGGATGTACTGGCCGCTCTTTCCCTTCTCTCCGTGCAGGTGGAAGCCGTAGCCGTTCTCCCCTTTGGTCATGCAGCAAAGCCGCGGTTTCAGCTCGCTCGCCATGCTTCAGCTTCCACATACAGGGGGGTCCTCACAGAGTCGTTTCAGCGGTCAGTCAGTCCGTCAGTCAGTCAGTCCTGAAGCAGCGGCTAACACAGAAATTCATCAGCGCTGAAAACTCACACAGAACCGCGCTCTGATCTCTGAGGGCTCAAAGCTAAGCAGACTAAGCTTTGCAGTCTGCATCGCGCCGCACAGACATGCAGCTCGTTTTCCTTTCGCTTGCGTTAATCTTCAGTTTCGTAAAGCCGTAAAGAAAGTTAAGGTCGCAGAATGCTTACTGCGCAGGACTGAGTCTGTCCGTGTCCGCCTGCTTCTTTCTGCACTGTGGACCACTTGGGTGGCAGTTTCACCGATGCAGTCTCTGTATAACAAACACCCCGAGGGAAAGAGCAACAGGCGTTATCTCCCGTTCAGACGTCCATCCATGCTGGCCGGTTTGTGAGGAGACGCGCGGTTGTGCACGGCTGCTTCAGTGAAAGTAAAGGTCCTGGCGGATGAGATGGACCAGAGCTTTCTGGAGCTCTAGCACCGCCCTTCAGCAGAACTGCTGGAAACGAGCTTAGCTCACTCACTGGAGTTGGATGTTTGCCTCCTGATAAAGCAGCTGCTTTTTTGCTTTTTTGGTATTCATAAGACGTGCTGCTCTTGTTCAGGACTAGGGAGAATTTTTGACCCCATCTAACATTTTAAATCACAGTTTAATGAAAAAAAAAACTACTAGGAAGAGCCGCATGACAGAAATAACATTATGAAAGGACTCTAAGCCAGTCGGCGCTGAGAAATGACAATCAAACACATTGCAATACTGCCCCCTATTGGATGATTTCAGAAAATAAGTTTTTTTGAACTACTCACTGTACCTATAGTGCAGTAAGCATTTAATACGATGTTTTACTGAAAGATAAAAAAAAATCTATGGAAATTGAGTTCACATAAAGGACAGACTACGTTCAAATGTTCTGGATACAATTCTTGGCTTCATTTGTTTCTGGAAAACTTAAAAACAAACAAAAAAAAAACAAGTTGGTTCTTCAATAGTTCTTTAGTAAAGACAGTGATTCTATATAGAAATATCAACCCTCAAAGAAACATTTGCATGCTTAATGGATTCTTTGCATGGTGAAATGGTTCTTCAGACTGATGGAGAATGTGTTGTATATGGTTCTTTATAGCACCAAAAAGGGTTCTGCCATTGTTATGATGTCAAGCTTCTAAGTTTCCATATAGAACCATATACAACACATTCTCCATCAATCTGAAGAACAATTTCACCATGCAAGGAACGCTTTAAGCATGCAAATGGTTCTGTGAGTGTTCATTGTCTTTACTCAAGAACACCTGAAGGACCATCTTTTAGAGTGTAGTTAAATGTACAGTTAACACAGGAAATTCAACTAGCGTTCAGCCATCATTTCACAGATGTCCCTTGTAAACCAGACCGGCAGAACAAAAACGATTCATTGAGGGTTTAAGATTTTATTTGGTTTATTTTAAAAGAAGCAAAACTGGTGGTACAGTTGAGAAAGGATAACGCAGTCTTGCAGCACTGCTGTAGACTGACTGTACTACATAAAGAGGAACTCCACCCATCTTTCAAAATGTCTGCATAATTCAATTGGCAAGATGTAAAGAAAGTAATTAAGAGTAGCTTGACGTGAAAGATGCCATTTTAGAGAGCGTTACTAATTCGGAATTGTACACTGCTGATATAAGCCTCTATCAGGTATTGCATACAAATACATGATGCCGGAAAATGATAGTTTTCAGCTAAAACATGTATTTACCTCTTTCTTGGTGGAGAGGTAAAGGCAGGGAGTGGCTAAATAGTACCCAGAAAACATTTACCATCATCAGCATCACATACAAAAACTGCAGGTTCACTCGTTCACATTTTGGAAAATAATTATATTTGTTGTAAACAATGTGACTCCTGACTGGGCTATTTCACAAAGCAGGATTTCCCAGTTAGCCAGATTACTTAAACCCAAAGAGGAGAATCAACTAATAGGAATCTCCCTCAGCTGTATTCTATTGGACAGGCTTGACTTTGGGCTTAATTTATCTGGCTACACTGAGAAATCCTGCATCCTTACACGGTGCAGCTTTAATCAATTTCTAAATCACAGCCTGGCCAATCAGCCTTTCTTGCACCTTAATGGTGCTCAAGTTTATAGGCTATTACGGTCAGCTTTTTTTGAAACGGTTATCTTATTTACACATCAGTGAGCACTTTAGCACTGTTCCTTTCCACTAAGGCAGCTAGACACCATCTCGAAACCTCTTCAATTTATTCTTATATAATTTGTCTCCGCATTACTTCCACTTTTCTAATAAGATATGAAGTATAAAGAATATAGACTTGTTAAAGGTGGGGTCTGCTGTACTGCAGATTTGCTTGCCTAGGTTTTCTACTGGAAATTGAGAATGTATTTCAGGAGAGTATCATATCGCTGCATCTTTTGTTAATTATTTAGAGGACATCACACTGTAGACATTTATGTTTCGCCAGCAAGTCTGAAATAGAATCATGGGATTATGTGCAGACATAGTTGTGTCCAAGCTGGAATATAAAAAAAAGATGCTGACTGTGGGTTCAGAGCAAAGGGAAAGCAAAAGCATGCTGGCAAAAATCATGACAAATTTTCATGTGCGTAATTTTTCAGAAATCTTCTGTATACAAACATTTGACACTATCAGACATCCTCTTAGAACCTTCAGACTTGATTTGTATTTGAAATCTGCTCAGCTTGGTCTAGGGCTCTGCTAAACCTTGTTTAATATGCCATTCATGGAAACAGTTGCTATCTGGTGTAAGGCACAAGGCTGCATTGCAAACTTGGCATATGAAAGTTGTTATAGACAGTTTTCTCTTGTGCTTGTAGCAATGGATGCATGCCTTTCCTCCAGCAGGGTTGAGCAATGGAATACAGTACCAACTACCACTTGGGGGCTTGATTACATGGACCTTCTCCTGCCCATCTTGAAGATCTGGGCTGGTCTCACCTCCCTCTTGCTCAGCCAGAAGGCTCTTACCCTCGTCCTCAGATTCGTCTGTGGGCTCTGGCGGATTTTTACTGCATTTGCCGTGATTTACCAGTATATTAATGAGATGTTCCATGAATGCCTTGTGGGTATGTGGTCTTTTCCGGGCTAATTCCAAGTGAAGGATGAAGCTGTTCGCACAGGCAATGCCCAGGAGTTGGTAGAACAGGCGCATGTACCACTTAGAGGGTTTCTGAAGATCTCTGTGGGAGCAAGTTAGCCTTTTCAACATGTCTGACACATTGTCCTGCATTCTGACATCACCTGTGTCCATGGAAGGGAGATTACAGTTCTTTGCTTTTCTTTGTGTACCCCTTGTTTGGGCAGCTCTATGAATGGTGCTGCAGATTGCTCTCTCAGCAGGCTCCATATATTTCAAAAACAGTATGTGATCTTTCTGAAGCCACTCAATGGACACATTATTACTCACTTTACAATAGTTCATACCAGTTCTTGGGAAGCCCAGGGCCTTTGGGCTTATGATCCCCCACGCATAGCATTTGGATTGACGTAAGTCTTTAAACAGCTCTAGGCTGGTGTGAAAACTGTCCACATAGAGGTGGTATCCCTGACCAAGCAGTTCAATGTCCATCAGCTGCATCACTGAGTCATAGCCAAGTCCTTTAGCAGAAGCTGAGGCACTGCTGTTTTCCATCACACACAGATTCCACACATAGCTGCATGAAGTGTCTGCCAGGACAAACAGCCTATACTTCTCACTGTTTGGCTCCTCCAAAACAAACTTCAGAAAGTCATCCTTGGGTTCTCCCTGAGTGATGGTGAGGTTTCTAAATGGATGAAAGTATCGTTTGCATGAGGTCACGAGGTCATTCAGAAGAGGCTTGAGCTGATGGAGAGGGTCATATTCTGCTGTGCCTGCTTTGCTCTCGTTGATGGCATCCGCTTTAGGGTCGCTGAGGTGGAGACAGGAAGCAATCGCTTCAAATCTAGCCTGAGTCATCACTGAAGCAGGGAATTCAAATTTGAAAAGTGATTTGGAGCTCCAGTAACATGGAAGACTTGGTGCCTTCACTAATCCTGTGTATAACACAAGACCAAGAAATCTGTAAAACTCCTCAACACTGAGTTCCTTCCAAGAATGTGCTGTTTTTATATGTTTTGTATTTTGGTTGGTGTTCTGGACAAGTGCACCAACAACATCTGTGCTGAAGAATAACTGAAAGATGTCAAATGGTGACCATGACCGGGATCGGCCAACATGCACTCCAGGGCGTCGTTTTGGCACAAAATTTTGCGAGGCATCCTTCAATATGACAAAACCCAGCCGTTCACCACCACGTGGCCTTTTATCTTTTCTGTGTGCACAAAAAAGAAATGAAAAAACATTATTAGAACAGACAGCACCATGATAAAGGCAACGATACTCCAGGCATGCCTGTAGTACTCTTAACCACATCTTACCTGAAAGAAATCACTTTTCCCATTTAAAAATTCAGTACACAGTGCAGTGAGTGTTTCCCACACATAGGCTATACATGGGCACCCCCCAAGTTTATTTCATCCCATTTTAACAATTTCCAGTTTCCATTTTATCCCATTTTAATAAACCCTACAGAAGAAATGTTTTTCATTGTTATGAGTAAACAAGGGCACAGTTTCCACAGTCATTTCCACAACTTCAACTAATTTAACAACTTCACTAATTTAACCAAGTCCATGGGGTGCTTTACATCTAAAAACATGGAAGGTTTAACATTCACTAATTTGTCAACTTGTTCAAATACTTGAACAAGTAAACAAATGCAATGAAAAGATTGGATAACATATATTCAACAATATGTTTTATATATATAATAACAATATACTCCCCCTCCCCATCTACCAGGCCTAAGACCTGTAATGTAAACGTCTATTCTGTGGTGGCATCAATGCTTATGAAACTGCATTTTTCTGGATGATACTTTGGTTACAATGCTTATACTATGGCTTTTTGTACTCTAATTCTGTTTTCATTTGGAATAGATGCAACAATTTATTTTTGTAATTTGCAAGTGAGTGATTTCAGCAAAAAAGAAAAAATACAATAAAATAAAACAATTTTTTTTTGTTTCTTGTATGCAAAGTATGCATCAGTTCAGTCTTTTCCCCTCCCATGGTTAACTACCAAGAAGTTAGATGTTACCAAGTATTTGCGTAATACTGTAACAAATCTACCTTTTTTTTGTTCTTTACACTTCTACAATAAACTTCTCTGATTTACATGACTGTATTTGCAATAGGGATGTGCTGATGGTATTAATAGAAAAATGAATGCAAGTTTGACTTCTATCATAATGGCATCAAATCTCATCGTGTGGCTCCAGAAGACCGCTACTAACATTGCAGTCCACTTTTCCAATTCTAGCCTTATAAAAAGCACAAACCAGTATAAACATCAGTCCATGAGCTGTGCTTGAGAACGTCAGAGATCATGCCATTCTGTAAAGCATAGGCGGTCAGCAACAATGCAGAGTGGCACACCACATGCCCTGCATTTATAAATCGTCATTTTTCCTTTTCAGTGCCACGAGATGCACACAGTATTTCCTCCCTTGTGTAGTCTTCATACGACGTTCTGCACTGTATGAGTGTTGTAGGCTTCTCTTTCTCAGGGGGCTGCTGTTTCTCTAAAGTCACCACCAGCATCCAAAGGGTGTCACTGAGGCTCCTCTTGGCCGTGATCATCTGTTGGTGTAGCCTGCAGCCATTTATAGTGTTGGATCGAAAATGAGGAAATCATTTTTAACCCATGCTAGTTTTTCGATGCTTCTTTATCCTCCTTCTGTATCCAAGTGATCCATGTTAGAAATTGCTGCTCAGTGTTCTCCATGCATTTACAAAGGCAGAGCATCACTTGATCAAAAGGTCAGGAAATTAAATTTTGTTCCACATAACTTGAGCTGGTTAAGGCTGTTTTTGGATGGCCAATCTGTACATGGGCTGCATGCCTTTTACTTTTATTTGATCTTCACAGTCTGCATTTGTACATCTGGATTTTAATCTTTAGTTTGAAATTATAAAATTACATACATTATAAATTACATTAATTGCTAATTTTCTCCCCAAACACACCACAAAAAACACGTTGAAGAAAAATAAATACAGGAAATAAACATTACATCTTCACATTGCAGTATTTTTACATAACGTTTCTCCTTTCCCTGGTAGTATTTTGCATTAGTTTTATTTTTGCCCTAGGTAAAAGCCAATCAAAATCAATGTGTTAATGAGGTAATACACAGTAATGACCAGTGCTCAGTGAAGACATTTTTGGGTGCCAAAATGGGCATGCCACATCAAAGAAAAAAAAGAATGTCAAAATCAGAGGTATGGATTCTAAGAACACGTAAACAATGGAAAATAACTGTATACCGTATCAATGAGGTGTCAAAAGAAACAAGAACTACTATTCATTGTCAAAAGCAGTGACAAAAAAATGGGAAAAAAGCATCCACATATGTTACTCTGTTATCAGCTTTTAACATCACATTAAATCTGGCAGTAAATTTTATGAATCTAACCCATAAAAGTGCAGAAAATTGCACCCAAAACAGCACTGCAGCCAAAACAGCATTGTGGAAATAAGTTTGTGCAGTCCTCAGCTTGTTTTCATTCAAAAGATGAAACATAACAGCAATATGGACAGCAGCTGTGTGGCCAGGCTGCCTGTGGGGGTGGAGTTTTCATCAGAGTTCTTCAAGAAATTGCTTGCAGATCACAAGTTGTTGACTATGGGACAGTAGAGGTGCTTATAAATGATGCAACAAAAGAACAGAGGAACAAGGCATGGTACCACATAGTCAGAGAGGCAGCATTTCCCCTACATTTGTTAGATGTCTTTCCTGGTGTCCAGCAGACTTTTTCTACTCTATACTCTTAAAGGGGAATTCCAATGATTCTTCAAAATGTCTGCATTATTACATTCTTTAAGATAAAACAAACTAATTTACAGTGGTTTAATGTGTAATGCACTCATGGCGGAGAGGTATATGCCAGGTGTTGCAAGGAAAAATAGTAACCCAAAGGTTAGGTTCACTGGTTATTTTGGATACTACTTAAATGTTCCTGGTCTAAGGAAAAGGAGAAGTGGCATGGTAAACGTTCTTGTTTATGTCATACCCATGCAATAAAAAAATGACCACAAGATCAATGATGTAGCCATGAGATCCTAACTTCTGCCCATAGCTTAATATCTCAAGGGATTGTGGTATCTTAAATCACCACAAATTGGCATTTAAAGGAACATGAGTATATCTTATCTGGACAACTTATAATAGAAAAAGCAACGCATTCATTTTAACCTTTACATATTTAATGCATGGAAAACATACTGACATTGTACAGTGCATTAGATCAAAGTTGAAACTGAATTTCACAAAACAAGAAGTTTCACTTGTATAATGTTTTCTGTCGCAACTATTAGTGTGACGTTTTGTTTACATTTTTATACACTACTTATCTTGAGTAAATGTTCCACCTGACTTAAGTATCTACAGAAAAAGCTAAGGCTTGAGATAAGAACCTAAGCAAGAGAGGCCTGAGGTAATACTGCAACTGACAAATACAGCAAGTTGAAATGCAGTTGGTGTTCCATAAGTTAAGGTTGTCATAACTTCTAACATGAAATATGTTTACACTCAGAATATGAATGGAAAATGTCAACATACAGTAACAGAAAAAAATAACAAAAATAATTTAAAAAAAGCCAGACTTGTAGTGTTGAACTGATACAATTAAAAGAGACAGCATTTTAAAATAAAATTTCAAGCCTGGAAAAACAAGGCTCCCGTGGACTGAAGAACAAAGGTGCTGCTCTTGCAGACTGAAGAGCTGACAGCTCCTGTGGAAAAACTGAACAGGAAAAGCAGATTCAAACTTCAAGTAATTACTAACATTACACAAAACAAATCTTAAAAAAAAGATTAAAATGCTAAAAATGTTTTAAGGATATGCATCACAATCGTCATAATCCAAAAAGTTATGAATGTAATTGTTTACTCACCAGCGCTTTGCTTACATAATATCCATTATCCAAACTGAGTTGTTAAGAACAGCATTAAAGCCACCCCGAAGATCCGGGTAATTTTGATATCTTATTGGCAACAGGAGAAGGCATCCACACATATTTGCTCGTGGACGACATTCAAAGTCCTTTTTTTCGATGAACTGCACTGTAATGTGCTTTCCAAAAATGACATCTGCCCCTGTGCAGAAACGAAGGAAGCGTTGCAAGATGCTGTCATCCAGTTCCCTGATGTACCTTTTGAGATGCCTTGCTACAGTATTTTGTTGGACATTCATGTCTTCCGGAAATTTCAGAAGTGCATTCACCTTCTTAGGTGATGGAACTCTTTCTTCAATTATCTCTGTTAACTTCTGTGGGGAGATTGTTTTGGCCAGATCCTTTAGAACAGGCCTCCAACAGTCAATAACAAATTTTGGCATTTGAATGAGGGCTTTGTGGCCTAACTGAGTAAGGAGTGGGCCAAGGTTTTCTTCAGTGGGCATTCGATGGCATTCGTAGGAATCTAGAATATCCAGCAGTGAGTCTTGATCGACAGACTCAAAGTTGTTCAGTGCATGCTGGAGGACCTCCCGGTCATGCTTTGAAATGTAGAGCATGAAGGCCTTAGACACACTGCTGAAGATAGTGCCATACAATGTCTCTTCCAGAAACGGCAAAGGGAGATGAATAGGGAAATATTTCTCAGCAATCCAGCCTTTTAGAAGGACCCTTGCGATGGCTTGCCACTCAGTGACTTGAAATTCATGCCTTAGGAACGGAGCCTTAACATCAGACCCTAGAGTGCATCTGTTGTAGAATTCACTCCAAAATTCTGAGAGGCAATCACGGAAAACTCCAGATCCAACTCCCACCTCCAGCCCTCCATTAGGGAGCTTCATATGAATGCTGACTTCCTTGTCCATAATTGTTGGGTCAGTGAACGCACCCATCATATCACTGAGACAATTTCCCCTTCGTACCTCAACAATGACCTTTGAATTTACCTCAAAAGGAAGGGTGTCGTCTAAACGGTGAACAATTTGTGCTCCGGTTCCAATGTCATCATCTTTGTAATCATGAAATTGAGAATTTCCAGTATTTGTCGAAACGTCACTGGTCTGTGGAATGGTCCTTACATCATATACAGTATCTTGGTTGTGTAGTTCTGTCATCCATCTGGCACTGACAACGGCACCATTCTCCTGGATTTGATCCTCCCAAATGGTTTCATCATATGGGTGTTCGAGTCCTTGTGTTCCGTGTGAATTTTCAGTCTCTCTGTCAAGGTGGTTTTCGAAAGTTTGGCTGTGCATTGCAATGCTGAAATCATTGCTCTCCTGCTGCATATAATTACTGCCACCTTCTAGAGAAAGATCCTGGGGACCTTGCACATTCTTTGCACTTCGCTTTTTTGTGAAGAGGTACAGTCGCAGAATTTTTACCTTATAGGCCTCATAGAGATCTCCTACAGTCAGGTTTTCATCAAGACGTCTATGAGAGAAGTCTCGGATATCACAATCAACATCCTTCAGATAAAAAAATCTGGAGGCTCCAGCCGGGAAGAAGATTCTCTCTGCCATTCTCCGAACTTCAGACATTTTTGCTTGTTTGTTTATACTAATATGCTTGGTCCCTCCTCCGTTCGCAGTGCGAACTTGTTTGAAATTACAACCTTTCTCATTGTAATTCATCCATCCAAGCTCCACTCTCCTGGCTTTCTTTTTTGCGTACGTGTTGCCCATGTGCCTTTTTGAAACATCCTCTCTTGGCCCAAAAAGCCTCGATGGTGGTGGCTCTATAAGCTGGGATGTTCCTTGATATGGCTGGTTACTAAGGCAGTAGGATACGACGGCCAGTCTGTCTCCATAGTGTGGTATGTACTGTTGAAGTTCACTGTCGCTCATCAGTGGTATCACAGAGATATCAATCTGGTGGTAAGACACAGTTTAAAGTAAGAATATGCAAGTTGTTTGTAATTCAGTACACTGTAATATCTAAAACTCCAAAGTTCTTCTATAGTCTACAGTTCTACAGTTGGTAGGTTACAAAACCAAGAAAAGCCTGACACAGTTTTAACGCCATATAAAATCAAAATAATGCTTTTTTTTTGCTTCATATAAATATTTTTTGCTTTTACTAAACACTACAGCTACCCTTTCAGTGAATAATACGATTGCATGACAATTTTAAACTTAAATATTAAATTTTGCAAGAAGCAGCATGAACCACAGCCATTTCCACAAAAAATTCACCATGTATAGCTTTGTATATTTATTCTGCTGCTCATATATGTACACAGACACAAAGCTGACCATTTTACAAAACAACAGATAACAGTGAGATCAATGATTACGAGAGGTAGTGTAGCCTACCTTGTCCATTTCCATCCGTTTGATCAGGTCCTCAGCTATGCCCCTCTCCCGAAAGAAGTCAACAAGAGTGGACGGCTCCTCCATTTCTCTGACAATTATTAAAAATAAACTGTTGGCCTATCTCTTTCTCTGCATATATACTTAATGTTTATTATCCTTATTCAAGATGTTGGCCTGCAATCGGCAGCACTGTTGAAAGGTATACCTGATTGCAAAATCAGTTAAAAATATAATAATTACATAAATAAAAATAATTACAGTTTACCTATGAATACCCAATACCCATCTTAGACATACAGGCATGCGAAAAAGTAGACCCCATGAAAAATTTAGACTTTTTCATTATATTGGGAAAATCTGGCATTAAGTCTTCATTTAAACACTACTGATGGATAGAGTATAATTTACTATTGATGGATAAACAATAATTTACCAATTGACATTTAGAATTAACATTTTTTGTCATTCTTTACATAATTAAAATAAACAGAAATACATCTCCTTATGTGGACAAAGTGATAAATCCTAAATAAATCACTTCAAACGTGTCAAATTGCACCTATTCAGCTGCTAATGATTAAAACATCCGGGATAAACTAGTTTTATTTAAATCTCAGATATCTGGCTTTGTGATTGGAGTGTAATCATGTGATCACGCCAAGATCAAAAGAGCTCTTTGGCTGTCAGAAATAAAGTTGTAAATGCCTGAGTCTGGAAAGAGGTTTAATAAAACATCTAAAATATTGGAAAATCATTCCACTGTCCTGAAGATCATCTACAAGTGCAGAAAATTTCAAACCACTGCCAACTTGCCCTGGCCAAAGAGTTTTAGGAAACACCTACATAAAGCTCTTTCTGCCAAAGGGGACGGTATCAATTACTGAAGCCAGGGATGTATATGCTTTTCAGACAAAAATGTCAACTCAGTTATTTACTTTTTTAAATAAATGATTGCCAAGTCAAATTTTCTATGTTTTTAGTTCTACCACATAACATTTAGCTATACATATTATTTATCTAAAGATAAAATAATGATATGACCACATATGCCTGTAATGTTGGAAGACACATAGTGGCAGGATGCAAGTGCAAAGTGACAAAATGACAGAACACTACTGAACAAGATATTGAAACAGAAAGGAGACAGAGGGACATAAAAAAAAAATAGAAAACGAGATAACCAAAACAGGGTCTGAGAGAACAAAACACCAAGCAAACATAAAGCACACAACCAGGGGCATAAATACAGAGGGAAACAACCAGAAACACCTGGGACTAATGAGAGGGCGGGACTACAGACAACAGACAGGTGAGACAGATGACAAGAAGACAGGGGGGAGACAAAGACCAGAACAACAACAAAATCACATGAAACAAGATACACAAGGGTAGATATACAAAGGCAGACAGACAGACAGAAACAAGGAAAGACGAAGGATGGCAGGATGTTACACTGCCAAAAAGAGAAACATTTAATGGGGTTTACTTCTTCACATGACTGTAAAGGTGGTCATGCAGGCTGATGGTAAAATGTATCCTAATATAAATGTGTCTTTTAATTGAGTTGAAGTACAGACGGTCACTGTTCATTGCATGCAACATTTTGAGCTGTGCCAAAATTTGTGATCACATTTCTTCATAATATGATATTGTAAAATTATGTCTTTTGATAATGTAGCAGCCATTCATTATGCAGGACATTCCTTTGTGATATTAAGCTGTGGGCACAAGATGGTTCAGGTGGCCATATCCTTAATTACAGTAAAATATAAACTGGGCTGGTGTCCAGCACTTGGTGATTTCTCTGTTCAAACACACCTGATTCTCATGTTTTCACATCTAAACTCATCTTTCAACTGCCAAGTTGAGTGGGTATGTTTGACAACAGGACAAGAGTTGAATGCCCCTAAATTACAAGCTTCAATTCAGAGCATTTAGAGTTTTAAGTTTAGGGCTGGAGCAACACTATCCATACAGACACTGCGTCTAGATCCTACCACAAAAGCATTCACCAAGCAGAATTCAGCATCATAACAGTGCACTGCTTGTGCTTTTGCCTATATACACAGTCATACCACTAGTGTAGACGTTACTGTCAACCAAGATTCTAGTTTCTTTCTTTTTTATATTTTCATTCCTGATAGACAGTTAGTTGTGTGTGTGTGTGTGTGTGTGTGTGTGTGTGTGTGTGTGTGTGTGTGTGTCAGAGAAAAGGGGGGAAAGGACATAAGTGTGTTGGAGAGAAAGACACAAAGTATCCCTTTTTTTAAATACATTTTCTCATGTGTAGTTCCCAACAGTGGAATTGAAAAGAATTTCCCAACATGCTCCCCAATGATTCAGACACTTTCAATGTAAGAGAATTAAAAGCATGATTCATTCCTTCCTCCTACCACTGTTTATTCACATTTAATGCAAGACACAGAGGTGCATTTCCCAAAAGCTTCAGTTGTACACTATGTACTTAACTAAGCTCATCTTATGAATGTTAATAAGTGTTTCCCAAAACCCTTCAATAAAGCACTTAAATTCATTTGCAAATTACTAATACATACTACTCATCATTCACAAAACCATTCCTTCTTTGGTTTTTGCCTGCAGTCTGCTAACTTGCTAATGCATTTTGTGAGGATGTGCTTGTTACTATTATTATTATTATTTTATGTATTGTTACCAATAAGGGCATCTGCCCTCACTTACTCATACTTCTAATATGCACAGCAGATAACGCCTGACACTATGTGACGTAAGCCTAGTGTTTGCTGTCACGCTAATTAACAAACAACTCAAGCTGGCAGTGAACGAGGATCTGTTCACACAGCAGAGTGCTGCTGACGCCATGACAGTCAAACCCAAAGTCTTTGGTCACTTTAAAGATTCCGCCTCGGCATATAAACGCAAAGAATACACTGTGATTTTAGCCCATTTTTAAAACACACAAACACAATCACAACCAGTTCCCCAGTATGGGTGGAACAAAAACAGGTAAAAACTCCAAATCTGCGGTACTGAAGTCTGTTTATGCGACTTTACCCATTTTGACTGAAGAGAATTGCGAGGTATATAATATAAAGATTATTTAAATTGTCTCAAACAGTCTAAACAGTTCCCATCACTAATAAACAACTAATACTAAATAAAAGACTCACAACATTTCACATTTTCACATTTCGGTCAGTAAAAATGGAGAGCCCCTGGCTTGGGTGGCCACTTGCCTTGATACCGCGATAGCTAAGTTGACAGCAATGTTCTTATTTATGTGAAGTTTTTAAAGTTTATCAAGTCTAAAAGATTTGCTCAGCTAGGAAATCCAGTCATTTCTGTAAATGCGATCTGAAGGGGTAAGCTACCTTGGAGGACAAGACAGGAATGCAAACTTGACACATGTAATAAATAAAAACTTGACACTTGTTAAGAAACAGAAAAGTGTGTTTATTGTATAAGGTATACTACAATGTTATGTAAAGGTGAAAAACAATTCAGCCTTGTGGGTGCTCCGCTGCTCTTTGTTAATGAATTTCTTTTAGGACCTGAACCAACTCTCCAAACAGAGCAATGAACTGGTTGTTGAATGTTTCTTCTACACGTAATCTTTCAGCAGCTTGAGCAGCTTCAGCTTCTCTGTCGGCTTGTCGACTCTCCAGCCACTGCTTGTGCTGGGCCTCAAGGACAGCCAGGTGTGCGGCGTCTGACTGTGTAAAAAAAAATCTTCAGTTTGAACAACAGACTTGAGGCAAAACAAAACATTTGGTTAGTTTATAAAGCAATTACGCTACCAAGCCATCATAATAGCAAACCCAGCTGAAGTTTTAAAAGAACACGAGCTATAACTTGAACTTTAGCTTGATTAGCTCACGACTTCAGCTAAATTAGCTTGTGCACTAGCTGTTCTGTAACTCCATTCCAGCCAACCATTAAGTTGTTTTGCCTCTTTCATTTAAACACTACATATACTGCAAGCAGTGCTTTCTTCTGTCCATTAGCCTGCAGCATTCTTCTATAATAAAGAATGTGTGTTTAAGAACAAGACCATGTTGAGTCACCAGTCAGTCAGTATGAAAGATAATCCTTTATTAGTCCCACAATGGGGAAATTCTCAATTCTTACACTCGAGTTTGTCTCGAAGTGCTGTAAAAAGGGTCGTCACAAAAGTGACCCAAAGCAATCGGAGACAACCTTACATGTTTGCCTTTTCAAAGGCATGTCTCTTCTTGTAAAGCTTATGTTATGGAGATTCACTCGAGTGTCCATTTCTGGTTCACAGTGAAACCAAATGACTTTCTTACCAAGAATGCTGCATTTAGGTCTGGTACTGCTATCCGGGGGATCAGGCAAATTGACGATGGGAGGGTCTTGGAGCTCTGGAATTTTCTCCTGTTGGGGTGCAGCAGGCACTGGCGATGGTGCACTTCCCTCTGATGCAGAGTTTTCACTGCATGATGTGGAACTCTAAGTTGACAGCCTCTGTAAAGTGAAATTAAAAGTGAATATGAAAAACAGTGCCTTGGAGATTTATCAGTGAAATTACATTGTGTAAAAAAACAAAAACGGTTGCATTAGAAAAGATAAATGTCAGAAGGACAGTGTACTCCTATACCAAGGTTGGGGACCTAAGCTTCAACAATTTACATATGTATAATGATACTTATAACTTACCATGCTCATCACCCACAAAGACTTCCAAGAGCTTTGCAGCCATGGAGGGAAAGGATGAATCTAGCACAGTCATTCCTCTCAGAGGGGCGGGATCCTAAAACTATATCCAAAGCCTCGTAGAACCAGTCCGTTTTCTTGGCTGTTCTGCTTCTGCTGTTTGTGTCTTTTTGGATCCTGTACATATAATTTAGCTTTTTAATTTTTTCTCTGCACTGTTCGGAAGTCTGCTAATCCCCAGCGTTGCCAGTGACTCAGCTATCACTTGGAACACTTTCTCGTTTCTCTTTGATCCTTCCAATTGCTTTTGAATTCTACTGACCAGATGCCAATTAGCGCAAGTGCATCCTCCTAGGCCATGACACAGTCTCATGCATTTGCTCTGAGCTGAGCTGACAGCTTGCACTGAAATAGGAAGTAAAAGACACTGAATGGGTTGTCGCAAAAGTAACCTACATTCAAAACCAGTCAGTGAATACCTGTGCCATTACACATCTGTCTTCTCAAAAGTAATTTCTTTTGCTATTTTAATGGTAATTGAACTTTATTTGACCACATAAGTCATGAGTATATTAAAAAAATAAATAAATAAAAAAATAAAGCACTGTAAAGAGTCAGAACTTATCTGGCATACTCACAGTCACTTGCTACTGAATCAACCGGAGTTAAATGGGGAATTTCATCAGTGTTAACAAAAAATAGCCATCAAGAGTCGTTTGATTACATTTTCCAAATCAGAACTGTTTACTGGTGATGACGTCCAAAGCATTGAATGCCTCTAAAAAACAACTTCACTTGAAGCTATTATGCAAATTTTTACAAATATGTAATATGCATGATGTTTTACAACAGTTTCCAGATAAGACATTGGCCCAAAAAACAAAAATTATTTAAATACAAGCAGGGCAAGAGGCAAAATAGCATCCAAACAAAACTTATTTCTTCAGACTAACCTACATTTTACCATTACCAACATTACATGTTAAACTCTGACACGTCCAAATTTTCTGTTCGTTATGGACAGAGAAAATGGCTACATTTGCAAAGGTTTCTGTCCAATCACTGTAGAGAAATTTGAACCACTAAGGGTTAATAGCTGCTGCCAGCTTTCAGTCAAAGCAGCTCATTTATGTAATATTGTCTTTGTTTAAGAAATCTAGTGCTGACATTGTGGCATCATTTCATAAATGGAGACCCAAAAGATGCACTGAATAAGGGCCACACTCAAATCATGCAGACAGCAGAAATTTTTCTGAACTGTTGTTTATGTCTTTAATCTGTACCTTGTGTGTGGGGGTGCGGTAGAGATGTTAACAGAAGACCCAGAAAAGACTAAGAGTATTCCAAAACAACGTAGATTCATTTATTTTGTTATATCTAGTCAACAGTAGATTAAAACATCTCATTATTCTTCGTCAATCTACTTAAACTGAGCGATCAAGCAGGTTTTCTATGTAGTAAACCTATTCGACATGTAACTGACTCTGCATTAAAGATAAAAATACGTCTGTAAAAAAAAAAAATGTGGCCATGTCGTTGATCTACAAACTACTAATAAAACATGTCTCTCCTGATGTATATGGAAAGTCCAGACATAAGGAGTTGATGCTGTATTTGGAAGCAGGTGTCGTAGGTTTGGGAGACTGTTTGCTCTTCTTGTTTAGCTACATCGACGTTTCTGAGGCTGACTCAATTAAGCTCATACCTTTCGCGCTAACGGGGCATTTTATCTCCAGCAATCCACGCAATTCATCCTTAAGAAATATGCCATCTGCTGTTTCATCTAGAAGGAATAAGTCAGGCTAGAGCAAAAGGCCACATTTAGGACAGGCCTGTTAAGATGAATATGAGCAAGGTTTCCGGTTGTATTTCTGAGCGAACAAAGAGTTAAAAAAAAGCAGTTATCCCAAGTCCTGCTGACTGCCAACTTTCACTCCCAGCTTGGTTAGATGTTTGTCTTTATTTGTCTTTTTTTTCCCCGGTGAATTCATGCTTGTGCCGAAGTGGTGACTTGATGATGTCACTGAACAAAAGCACTGGGATGTCCAAGGAACCACAATACTATGCATCATCTTGTGGATTAGAAACCGTGCTCATTGAAGGTAACTATAAAATAAGAAAAATATTTATTAGTGGTTGCTTTGAGTGCACATATATTACACAGAATTGAAAAGTGAAACACCAATTTAACTGTTGCTCCAGCATCCACTCTATGACAACCAGTCTAAAAACACACGTAAGGGATTGGGAGTGGGCCATTCGCATGGATATATTTTGCATGTATATATGCTTTATGTTTAAGTTCTCATTTTTTTCAAAGTGGTTATTCAAGCTATTCAAGGTTGGGCAATATGACAATATTGTTATCGTGATAAATTACATCACAACACAACACAATATGCTTTTCTGAGGGTACACTGGGATACTGTCAGTACTTATGCAACACAGACCAAATGCATGTTTTATGGCAAAGAGAGCATATTTAGTCCTCTGCAACAAGATTAGTGCAGTGCAGTATGTGAAATCATGTGGCACTAGTAGTTTTTTTTTTTGTTTGTTCCAACTGATCAGATGTCAGAAAAACATTATTTACATTATTTAAAACATTACATAGATGTTGTTTGTGGTCAACATGTTGACAAACATTACATTTTAAGTCAGTATTTATCTTACCTGGTAACTCAAACCACACCCTAAGGGGTATGTGTTCTCTCCCACAGCTATTAGTAGTGGGGGCTGATTTGCTAAATAACTTATTGGAGTGCCTGTCATACTTCTGAGGAGCTCAAAGTCTGCATCTGTTACCTCCAAACCTTTCCTGTGGATGAAAAAAGTTGATGGTTACGGTAAATATGAACTGTAGAAATGCAATAACTGCAGGCTACAGAAAAAGAGTTATGAAATGCATGACAACTGCTCCCTTTAAAAACTGACATACTGAATATTCTGTAATCAATAAAATTATTCCATCAGTGCAAGAAATAAAGCTCAAAGGTAAGTGGAGATATGTCATGCTGCCCTTTTTATTACAAGTTACTCTGGTTAAGTTGTGCAACAAGTGGAATACGTACCGGTTATCTGAGAGTCCTGTCATGATGAGCTTCCTCTTGCAGTCAGTTTAGACTTTTGCCACCACAGCATTGGAAATGGGCTGCAGCTCAACTTTTTCCACCATTTGTTGAAGCAATCTAACGTCATTTACGAATACTAACGCATACCTTCCTTATGACTTTACTGAGCAATTATATCCTGAAAATGCTGGTTTAAGTTGAGTTCCGCCACCATTTTTAGAGAGCCTGACGTTGTTACCAGCAGTAACCAAGCGTTGTTAGGACTTGGGATCGGTCAACTTGTTTTTGTTAAAAATACTAACAAAATATTTTTAATTAATTAATTTAAATAAATAAATTCACATTCATGTGTCACATGCACATCCATGTGCACCACTGAAGTAGAGTTCTTAAGTGGACCCCTTTGATTAGGCCTGGAGCGTAAGGGCTCCGGGGATGATCAAGTAATGGAGCAGACCCGAAAAACACACGATACAGCCAGGTTGAGGTCATGTAAAAGGAAATGCCCTCCATAAAGTCAGTCACAGAGCCTGTTTACATCTTGCATTAACATGTATTTCGTTTCCAGATCATATCTGATAAACTTTGGCCAGATTCTGTTTGTATTTTCACCACAATGTGTCCCCAGTTTGGCCAGATGAGATCCGATTGTACTTTGCCCATATAAAAGGCACGTCAACACACAAGTCTTCACTTTTATTTGCTCACCGTCCTGAAGTTGGGAGCTTTTTTATATCATTGCACCAAATCATTTAATTATACTTTTGATGAGGGTAATTCCTGTTCACCATTCACTCTAATTTCCAGAGCCCCTGAGATGACATGGTAATTATTTTTTTTAAAAAGTGTGCCCACAAATTAATATACTGAGGCCACCAGTTAGGCTTCTCATAACTTGTGGCCTCAATATCTTAAATGTGTGGCTTCGATATAGAAATTGCTGGTCTCAATATAGTAATTTGTTACCTAAATATAGTAAATTGTGGCCTCACTATAGTAAACTGTGGGAGTAGTATAGTAATTTGTGGCCTAAAGGTGTTAATTCACGGTCTCAATATAGTTATTTGTGAAGATGCCTTACTAAAACTAATTACCAGGTCACATTAGGAGCTCCGTACCACTTCATGCAGTGAAAAGACTTAATTTTGAGCCTATTTACAAAACTGACATACCGACTAAAGAATTCTGTTTGTGTGTTTAAGTGTGTGTAATGACTGATTTTCTAAGTCTGTTTAAGGTTTATACTTTTCAAATGTGTAAAAGTGAAAACTTAAATTTGACACCAGGTATGATCGAAGGTTCGGTTTTCGATTGGAGATGTTGTTTCATGTACATGCAGGAAACCAGTGAACAGAAGAACTTAAAAGTAACTCAGTCAATAAATCTTGGATTATGAAGGTCTTTGGGAAACACTTGCAGATTCATTTTCTCAATTCCTTTGTTGTTTGGCTTGTTATTCGCTTTCACCAAGCTTTATCGTTTTTGGGAAATTCACCTCAGAACAATGTGTCTGTAGCTGGACTTAAAAGCTAAACTGAAATCTAGACACCCAAAAGGCTGTTATAAGTATAGCTCGGTCAAAAATACTAACCTAATGTTGACAGTGAAGTGAACCGAAGAGACATTGTGGAAAACGCACAATGATAGCTACGTTGCTAACTGTTCCTAGCTTGTATTCAGTTAGCATGTCTGGACAAGCTATTCGAGAGCACAGGATGGTCACGAACCCACTTCTACTCCTTTTCAAAACTGTCTCTACGAAAATGGCGAGCCTAACTTACCTATTTTGTGGCGGCTGCTGTTGCTGCAGGGGATGTGCTCTTTTTCGCCCTTTACTCCGAGGAACAGGCTCTCTGTCCAAGCTCTCCTCCGACTCGCTGCCCGGTTCCAACTTCACCTCGATTTCACACGGACTCTCTGCTCTCATACCAATCTCGACGGCACTCGGTTCGTCGTTTACATCCAGAGTCCAGTTTTCTCCCTCTTCTTTAACGTCCTCGGTTTCTGCTTCTTCCTTAACGGCGTCTTTGTCAGTCTGTCCGCTGATATTCACACTCTCAGTCTCCTCCTTCACTGCTGTGAACACGTCTGCGCAGGGATGGTCCTCCTCGGCTTTAATCTGCTCCTGCAGGGAGGCCATACCAAAACAAAAACAAAAATGGGAAAACTACACAGCAAGTCGCCCTCAGTCCTTCGAAAACCTTCCAAAACAACATAAATAAAGACTACAGAAACGCGACCGCGTACCACTGGGATTGTTTTCCGTTTTCCGTTTTCAAATATGGCTGCCGGTGTTCTGGCGAATTGTCCTGTCCTGCCGAAATGTCCTTCCGTAGCGCATATTTGCAGACGGCCCTCTACATAAAACTACTGGTAGGATATTCTGATAACCTAAATCACCTAATCAAAACTGCCACTGGCATTAAAAATACAGACATGATGCGTTAACAGCCCAAACAGAGATTTTCCCAATATAAGAGAAGACGGCAATCCTACGCTGTTTGGCACGGGGTGGGGGGAGCATACCGCCCGGCTTAGCCAATCAAATCAGACCTCGAAAGTTGTAAGCCAATCATATCCGACCTTGACATCGAATAAGCTCTTCCAAGTGCCGCAGATGCAGCGTCATCCGTTGTTCTCACTCTGAGGCGATACGTCTGCCCGTCCGCCATGTTGGAGAGGTCAAGGTCCGCTTGTAAACAAACGTTACATGTTTACTGAGATATAGGTTTTCATCATTAAATCGGCCATAACTTCCTTATCACTCAACTACGGAGCCCCGCTGGTGACATCCTGTATAAATAAAAATAATGTGTGGCCACGACTTAGTAAGGCGTGGGAATGCGATGATTAAGTCGAGGCCATGACTTAGTAAGGCGTGGGAATGAGGTGATTAAGTCGTGGCCATGACTTAGTAAGGCGTGGGAATGAGATCACGGCTTACGAAGTCGTGGCCATGCATTAGGATCTCGTTCCCATGCGTTAAGAAGGCGTGGCCACGCATTATTTTTATTTACACAGGATGTCACCAGCAGGGCTCCGTAGGGCTCTCAGCTTTTATTTCAATTTAATAACTGTGATTGTGCTGACTAGCTGTCCTGAGCAGCAGGAGAGTATTCAGTCTGCACCTGATGTTAAAAACCCAGTTCACACACATCAGCAAATCCATCAGTGTGTGAATCACTCCTAATCTTAATGCACGCAAAAATGAAAAAACTCCCCAAAACACAGTAAGAAGGACGAGATGAAGTTGGCTCTACTTCAAAAGGTGCAGGAGTTATATTCTGGTGCCTGAGGCTGCACCATTTAAGGTGGATTGGAAAAATTTGAGCAAGAAGATGGCGAATAAGAAGCTGACTTCAGCTTGCTGTAAGAAGGTGCTAATCTATTAAGAATATCTACATGAATTAAGGAATGCTGTAACTTATTACAATGATTATTCAGCATTAACAAGCACTGGAAATAAATAACTACTAATCAAGTTAAAATCCCCTATAGAGGATATTAAATAAAACAAACTTAATATAAAACAAGGGGAAAACAATCACACTATAAGTTCTCTCCGGCTCACCAAGAAAAGTGTGGCCATATCTGCACATAAATATTACACAAACATGAGTGTGGATCGCTGCGTTCTTTCCATTTTATAATCCTATCCCACTGTCTGAGTGCAAAATTCATGAAATAGTATAATTTTGAACAGTACTTTTCTTTAACTGGCACTCTATAATGGTATTAAATGCAGTCCTGCAGCGATGTTGATTGCCCTGAGATGGTAACCATATCTCCTCCTTTCACCCGTTTTACGTAACTAAACGTATTTATTCAGTTTATTTAAAATTTCCTCTTCCTCCTTAAGTAAAGGAGGTTCACTGTAATACTCTGAACAGGATACCCTTCCAGTGAATGTTTGAGACTAAGATTTGATTTCGACCATAATAATTCTTCTGCTAGATAGATATTGTAATGTCAGACCAATTTTTTTACATGCATTCATAGTCAGACATTTTGGAGGAAATGGCATGAATGGCTAACACATAAAATTACAAATTTGTCCATGTTTACTAGCGAAGACATTACTTGTGGGGTCATCTTGAAAGACTGGAGAACTAAATTAACAACTTAGGTAAATTCTTTATTCACAAAGCAACATTTCTAAAAACCTCCCTATCCTTTCACAGTATTTGAAATGAACTGTCTTTTTTTTTGCTTCTCTTAGAAATATGAAAAGTCTTAATGCAAAAAGCTTTTAGAATTTGAAATGGCAGAGACAGACTGATACTCCCTTTCAGATGTTTTTTTTTCATTCTCATTTCTGTTTCAGGCATTGTAATTTCCTATTATTTATTTTCTTGATAAGCTTCAGAATTTTTTTTATTCACTCTGTTAACTGTTTTTCTGTTACTACTGTTAATGTTGCCCTACTGTGGTGATATCAGTTCATAAGAATTTTTTTAGGATGTTTTAAGGAAATCTTCTGATCACTGCTATTATAATACACTGAAGTACTGATGGGTACAAACTACAGCCGTTAGGTTTGCATATACACCAATCAGGCATACCATTATGACCACCTCCTTGTTTCTGTGCTCATTGTCCATTTTATCAGCTTCACTTACTATATAGGTGCACTTTGTAGTTCTACAATTACAGACTGTAGTCCATCTGTTTCTCTGCATACTTTGTTAGCCCCCTTTTACCCTGTTCTTCAGGGGTCAGGACCCCCATGGACCCTCAAAGAGCAGGTACCATTTAGGCGGTGGATCATTCTCAGCACTGCAGTAACACTGACGTGGTGGTGGTGTGTTAGTGTGTGTTGTGCTGGTATGAGTGGATCAGACACAGCAGTGCTGCTGGAGTTTTTAAACACCTCAGTGTCACTGCAGGACTGAGAATAGTCCACCAACCAAAAATCCAGTCAATAGCGTCCTGTGGGCAGTGTCCTGTGACCACTGATGAAGGACTAGAGGATGACCAACACAAACTGTGCAGCAGCAGATGAGCTATCATCTCTGACTTTACATCTACAAGGTGGACTGACAAGGTAGGAGAGTCTAATAGAGTGAAAAGTGAGTGGACAGAGTGTTTCCACACAGTATCCGGTACAGGCTGAGACTGGCATGACGGAAGAAGAGGGGGAACAGTGGGAAGAGAGGGAATGGGGGAATGATAAGGACCATCGATAAGGTTGAGGCGTTTTGCATATCTGAGTTCTGTTTGATTAAAACTGTGGAACTGATCTTCAGTAAAATGAAGACAGCAGATCCAAGCTACCTTACAACTTTACAGTATATGGGCCAGAGCTAGGCCAGAACACTTAGTTTCACTCACTTTACAGGGTATGGGCCACATCTGGATCACATCCATTTACTCTTCTCGTTTTTGTCAGCCATTTGTGCAGCTGCTGAGTCACACTGAGCTAAGCTGTGTGTGTTTAGCTTCATGCTCGGAGCAGGCCAATGATAAGAGCTGTAAGTAAACCACAGCATATATCATTTAGAATTTTTAGCTTAGTTAACCAAAAAAGTGAACGAAAAAACTTGTTTTACATCTGGACCACTTCTGTTAGTTGTGCTCATTTTACAGTGTGTGGGCCACATCTGGGCCACATGCATTAGTTTTACAGCATCTGGGCCAGAACAAAACCAAGGATGTGTTTAAATTAAAAGATGAATTTGGCTAACTGGGGAGTATCAGAAGGTGGGAAGGAAAGCTGGCTACAGCTGATTAATCTTACCATCACATAGTGTACTTCATAATGTAGCTCACAAAGCAGCACTGCTGAAGGGACCCAGGACACATTCAGACACGGTCATTGTTACTGTCATACTGATAAAACTACCAACCTGATTAACACAGTCAGGTGAAACTGATCAGCTCCAACTGTAGAGCTGTAGACAGAACTATTTCACACAGAGCTATATAGTGCTGAGCAAAAAACTTGATGTGTTTGTTTGCCTGTATTGTAATAGATGATAAGTTTGCAGTATTAAACTTCTTTTATTTCTTCATCTAATTTACACCACGCCTGCGAGTGAGTGGTAGGTCTGGGCAATTACATGATAGTAATAATTGAGGCCAAACAGCTTTTTGAGCTCTTTTTTGAGGTATTTTTGATAAAACAATGGCATGCAGAGAGCTGAGCTTGTGAACAGTTGCTGCATCAGTTCTTGTTTTCTCTGGACAGGTTGGAGAACTTTAGTTGTTCATTACAGAACAGAGCAGCAGCACAGACAGCACAGTTAGCCAGTGAATTCTGGAGAAAGAGTTTGAGCTAAATATCTTATTATAGTAAAAAAAAGCCATATATCCTCTTCAGCAACTTTATTCTCTTTTTCATCCTGTTATTCCTATTTTTGCTGATTGCTAAGACAGTTTTAAAGGTCCTGCATGCTGACTGTTGAATGTAAAGGCCCAGTCACTGCACAGCATTCTCAACATGTAGATTTTAATGTAGATTAAGTACTTGTACTTACTTTCTTCTTCATAAACATTTTTCTACATTACATCATTATAAGCCTTTTTGTCAGGGTTCAAAACACTGTTCATGCTTAAATTTAAATTTTACAAAATGCATTTATCTGTACTGAATGACATGATAAATATAAGATCGTCCTCTGTTTCACTCAGGCCTACAATTACACAGACTGTAATCCACTAACTGAAGAAAAACGTTTGTTGCCATGACTACCTAATCTCATAATTAGGGGTATGACGTCACTACAGCTTGGTTCTACAGTTACTATGGCAACAGAGGACTTCATTCTGATGTCACAGTTCCGATTCTACTGCAGGTGTCACTTCTTTACTCACCTGTGTGCTGAACAGAAGCGTTTCCGAACTAGAGCAGATATTTTGGAGTAGACTGTGAACCGAGAACAGTACGTATATTATATTCTGCACATGAACAGACACACTGCGCTTTGTTGATGACTTGCAGTGTTTCTGTTCAGATCGTTTTTATAAAAACTAACATGTAGGTTCTGTAGCTGTGAGAGAGGAACTGAACATCTGTGCTGAACTCCAACATGCCTTAACTCTCCCACGTTTCTGTACATGTCCAGCGTTAGAGAGCAACGGGCCTCATTCACCAACAGTCCTTAAGAAGAAATTTCGTCTTAAAACCCACTTATGCAGTTTTCACAGAGATTCTGACTTTCACCAATGTTTTCTTATTTGGGGTTTGTTCTTAGGGAAGAACAGAATCTACACTCACTCGAGCACAAAAGTGAGAACAGTTCTGCGGTTTAAGAGCACGTCATGAATCTGACGTAGACCTTTTCTTAGAACCTTTCTCAAGAACAAATTTAGTAAAAAACTTAGGAAGATGTTGGTGAACTAGGCCCAATGATCCTAATGATCTGTGTCAAATATTCCTCATCCAGTCTTCTGATAATGAAGCAGCTGCTGGTGGTTTTGTAGTCAAACTGAACTGATAGCTGTATATTGATGGCCTGTCTGGGACAGATTTGTTTATTTGTGATTGTCCAATCAGAGCTCAGCGAGTGGAGCAGTA